CCCCAAAACCCCAAAACCCCAAAACCCCAAAACCCCTACCGTATATTAGTGAAGAATAATTTGCTAATTGAAAATATTCTTGAAATAAATAAAACAAATAAATCTCTCTCCCTGTTAATAATTACTTATGCATTTCACTATTATTATGTATACTCATACAGCCCACAACTAGCTGAACCCAGGCCCACTTACTCATTAGTTATTGATGCTTAGACTCTTTCTGGACACTTAAGAGTCATTGTTGTACAAATATGGATTGGTATCATCATTATCATCATTGTAAATCATTTGCTACTCGTACTACTGATTATGGTCATTGTCGTCATCTTCTTAGTTATTGCTACTTCTTTGACTGTAAAGCTGAGCAGATATCTAGAGTTGCTACTGTCTAAACAGCTCTAATTTATCTTCAGCACTCATGGCTCCAGTGAGTGCATTGCTATTCATATTATTTCTTTGCTGTTTATAGATATTCTAGGAGGCGTTTAGGACTTTTTGAGACTGGGTGTTGAACTGTATGTGCGAGGAAGATGAGTATTCATCTCTTACGTTTGTGAAGGACTTTGATTGATCTGATTTCATGCTCTGGCTGTTTTGTTTAGAGTGTTGTTTGCTCAACTGCTTTAATGGTTGCTATTCTTTTTTATAAGAGTATTGAGATTTAAGGTTAGAATTTACTATAGCAATATTATTGTTGCTACCTTTCTTTGCAGAGGAGAAGAGTTTACTGTTGCCTTGCTTGAACTACTCCTACTCTTTTTAAAGTTAATGCAGTTTTTATTGCTCATGTGTATCTTTTCTGCGTTAGGCGTCATCAAATAACCTTCTAACACAGTTCTTCTTATCTTTCTTGCTAATTCTTCTATTTTTAGTTGAATTAAGATACTCAGCATCCTCATCCTTGAGCTTAGCTTCCTGCATCATTTCAATTGCATATTGTCTTTTAGATTCAAGTGTTGTAAGTCTATTATATATCTCAATAGCATCTTTTTACTTGAGTTTTCTGGGAGACATGCCTCCATTGATTGAACTCCTCTTATTAGTAGAATTCATTATGTTTCTTGCAGGAGATGACGCAGCAGTAAACATTCTATCCTTTCTAGGTGACGTTGATCTATTGAAAGTGCTATTATTAGTGTCAGATCTCATAGCTATAACATCCTTTATATCATCAAATGTCTTATCTCTGTTATCTCTTCTTTCTATATCCTGATTCATTCTCCTCACGAAGTTAGCTTTACGGTTCTTAAGACTCGAGGAATGCTAAAACATCTTTTGATCATTCGAGTTCAAACTACTATTCTTGTATTCTTTGCAGGTTTTTCTAATAAACTCATACTTCTCAAACTCATCTAGATCTTAGTCGAAATTGCCTGTGCGGAAGGGATGTGGATCTTCATCATCCCCCAGAGATTTCTATCTCATGTTGGGTGTCTTAGACATCTCACGTCTTTGTAATTTATTTATAGAATCCTGCTTAGGACTGCTTAATCCTCTTGACATTGGTGATGCTTATCTTTATGTGTATGTGTTAGAATACTGATAGTCAAATTCATCAGCGATGTCTGAGTCTTAGAAACTTATATCTCCTACTTTGCCCTTATTTTTCACTACTCTCTTTTTCTTTCCTTTTTTGGCATTTTTAATATTGGTATTTGAGGGATCATTATCATGCGAGCATTTCCAAACCTCAATATCATTGGAGCTTTATTAATTCAATAGTTGACTAGTTCTTTGCTTATCTAGATTATTGCTAATGCCAGATTTTTAAACTTTTATGTTTAGAAGGTCTTCTTAATAATTGGCATAGGGTTTGTTTGTTTCTCCTAATAGGAATCTTAACTTAGCATTCTTTTCTGCTAGCTAGGCTTCAATAAGAGTTTTACTTTCCTCTCTCAAATCATCTTAATCGCCCTTAATTGTTATTGGAATTGGCTTAAATCTTTCTATGCTTTTATTCTTGAGTGAAGATGTTCGGTTGTAACTACTCTAGAGTTTAACCTCAGGGGAGGAGTATTTCATCTAATCTGAGACTCCACCAGCAGCATGTAGCTATTGCAAATAAGTAACTGAGTTCATAGACATATACCCATTTTCATTCTAAGCTCTTGATGGGGGTGATCTGCTGTTCTTAGGTGATATGACTCCTGCATTTGAGTTTCTCTGAAACATCAACTTGCTTGGAGTACCCTCACCAGTTTAGCCAAAATAGCTGATTCTCATAGTTTTAGTCAAAGTGTTTGATCCAGATTTGAGACCGCTATCTGCTTCCTCAGATGCTGTGTTGTAAAACTTCTCAGGACTAGCAGGGCTCTCTCCAATTTAGAATTGTGAGCTTGATTATTTTTGGAAGGTTATTGATTTCTAAGGTGTTTGAATCGATGAAGTATTTTCCTCATACTGCTGAATGTTGTTATAATTATTGTTTGCAAATTTAATCGGCGTTCTTTCTCTCTGATTGTTCATTCTTTCTTAGGTTTTTATTAGATAAATAATTAAAGCCTCGGCTCAGAAACTTTTATTTTACTTTAAATTTAATAATATAATAATTAAATGAGGTGTATTAAGTTAGGAAAAAAGCAATTTTATGATTGAATTAGATTAAGTTTAATTTCACTTATTATAATAATGAGCACAAAAAATAATAACGATAACCATTCTTATCCAGCTAAGAAATCAGATATTTCAACGATAACTCATTAGTGTAAGTTATCATGTATATATGATCAAGATTACTATCTCATTTCTATATTCACATAAATTTATATGAAACTATTAGAAGACAACAGCAATAGCATGATGAAGTTGCGAGATTAACTGGACAAAGCTAGAGAGAATATTATGAGTAGGCAGAAGTCACTGAATAATAATCATCACAATTCTCATAATGTCTAGCTAAATCAGCATGCAAATACCTCTTTATATGGAACACTTGGAGGGAATCAGTGCTCTCATTCGGATTGCCCAAGGCCAATATATAAATAAAAGTAAGCATTTAAATTTGCGAAAAATTGAATTCCTAACATTTAAATTCTGTTTACAGAATGTGCAAGCAACACTTCTGCTTGTAAGTAAAGGCAGTATTGAAAAAAGAATTAAGAAATATATTCAGAGGACCAGACAAAGCATATGCATCTATGGATTTCTATGGAAGAGGGTATATTACAGAAGAAGATTTCTTGAATTCAATTGTCATTAAAAGAATTCATTATTCGAAGGAGGATGTATTAGAGTTCTTTAGACAGTTCAACCTGTTTTCAAGCAAGGCAGTTGGGGCTAGAAGTGCTACACCTAGTGATATCAATGCCCGTAGTTTTGCAAGAGGTGCAAATTCCCTGGAAAGATAAGTTAGTAGTAATTATAACACTGATGGGGGTATGAATTTCGATTAATTCAAGAAAATGTTTTTTCCGTAACTATTCTTGATAAACGAGGAACATGATTCAGACGAAGATAGAAAGCTAAAGAAAAATCAACTTGACTTAAGCAGCAAGAAGAGAGCTAGCAGTACTATTGATAAGTAGCCAGAAAATATAATTACTGATCGACTTAAAAAACTTGAAAAAATTTTGAAGGATAAGTTCTAGAATTAATGGGAATCTGTTAGAAAGGCATTCTTGGCACTTGACTCAGACTATGATGGCTACATAACTGTCGAGGATATATTGCGTTATTTTGGGTAAGAATAGGATGTGAATTATAATGACTTGAAAAAGCTAATAAAGGACAAAGATTCTAAGAAGCTCGGTAAGATAGGCTACACTGATTTCTCCAAATGGGTTGGAAATTCCATTCATCAATCAGAGGGGTTTTACTTCAGACACGATTCAGTAAAAAATCCTCAATTTGAAATGAACTATCAAAAAAATGAGTAAAATTCTAATAATAAATCAAGGACCAAAGCTTAGGAAAGCTTAATCAACTAGAATTTAGAGAAAACAGTACTCGACAAGATTTAGTTTCAGTGGAAAACGCTTAGAAAGGCATTTATGGATTTGAATATGGAAAAAAGTGGTTCTATTATGCCAGAAGAACTTAGGTTTTATTTCAAGCATTGGGGTCTGGTATTGACTGATGAATAGTTTAAGTATCTATTTGAAAAGTTCGATCTTGATGGAGATGGCAAAATATCTTATAAGGATTTTTAAATGACAGTGGGAAGTGAAATTCATCCAGCTGAAGGTCTTTATTTTAGATAAGATAAGCCATAGTAAATTAAGATTAATTCATGCAAGCATGAAAAATGCTGGTAGCCTACCTAAGGAATTAATAGTTATTGCAGTCTGCATTTGAAGCTTCATTAGGATGACTGTAGCTACCTCTTTGGAAAGATGTTTTCACAGATAAAGACTAAATGGCCTTAGTTTATAGAAGAAGTTAAAAAAGCTTCTGATAGAGATGATAGAGATTAAATATTCCTTGATCAGTTTTAAATTGTACTTAGAAATTTCAAAGTTGACTTACTACCTAGAGAAATCAAATTGCTTTAAGAATCATTCCCTGGGAGAGACGAAGGGCAAAGAGTGAGAGTAAATGTTTCTAAACTATATGACCATAAGTATAATATGATGCTCGAAAAGATCTATAAGAAGGTTGATGTCCATGAAAACGATGGAGATGATGATCCAATAGATTAGAGCGGTTACACAGGCTAATTCTACAGATAAAAAAGAAATTTAATACCAATTACAGAGTAAGAATTGGTTTAAATCATGGCTCGTAATAGTAAATTAGTGGAAATCATCAGAACTATCAAAGAAATCGACAAGTAACACAATGGGTTTGTAACTACCACAGAATTAGATGACATACTTAAGATTCAATACAAGGAGGAGCTTGCTCATAGAGATTTAAGCAAGATAATGAAGAAATATTCTTCTATTTAAAACAGAGTATTAGTGGATTATAAGAAGTTTAGAGATGGCATGGTATCTTAAATTAAACTTTTGAATACAAATTTCACTTATCCAGCAACTGAAACTAACACAGTTACTCCTGACAAGAACTAAAAATCTAAAGTTAATGATGATTAGTATACGAGTCTATCACTCACTAGAAATAGGGATATTAAGAACAGTTTAAGCAATAACAACTTCAAAAGTGTTGAAAAGCATAGTAGTAAACTGCTACCAAGATATCAGGAAGAGTAGCACAATATTTACTCAAACAAGTTAAGCCATAATCCTCATAATATGACTCTAAATTAGCATTAGTCTCAAAACAGTATTGATAAAAATACGATTGACGAATTAAAGGGAAATAGAACTCTTGATGAAAGAGGCTTGATATAAATTAAAGAGCTTATAAGACCTCAAAATAAACATATCAAATTTAGTAATCATGATGTTTAGAACTCGCTTGTTGGTCATCGAAACCTTAAAAAGCAATAATTAAAGGCCAATCTAAACTAAACAATGTAGAGTTCATCATTGACCAATAAGATAGGACAAGGTTCACTTTTAAATTCTAACAATGAGATTAAGCTAGTAGACATAAATAATAAGAATATCAAGACATTCTAGGGTTTGAGCAAAACACCAAGTTAAATTGGCAATAAACTTAAAAGTAAGCATAGATCAAGCATTGATTACACAGGAGAAGGCATTAATAATAGAACAATTGATGATGTAATCAATGACTATAATGATGATAGAGCAAGAGGTGCTGGCTTGCTGTAAAGAGATCTTAGCGACAATACAATGATAAATTCTAATTTAATTGAAGAGAAATTAAGAAGAGCTTAAAGCTCTCATGGAATATTTGGAAGAAATAATAGAATTAATGTTTAAAGGCTGAAGACTATGAATGAAAATCATGGTAAATACCCAGGCATAAATAATTTATTGTAAAATCTCAGAGATTAAAGAAAGAACGTCCAAACTGGTGTCGAAGATCTAAGTGATAAAGATCTCATGACTGAATAGCAATCAAAACCATTGAACTCTACAATAAATGTCAAAAATAGCCAGCTAAACCACAGTCATGCTTAAATCGACTATATCGATCAGAGTTTTGACCATTTGAATAGTAATAATTCTAAGTACCAAAGTTTTATCCATCGTAAGAAATCTGAAGGCATTAGTATAGCCCTTGCAAACTCTAATAAGACCATGAATAACATTATGAATTCGACAATGGGACATAACTCTACCGTCTCTACTAATTAAAGTACTAAAACAAAGTCAGTTCTCAAATAAAAACTGTCATATGAATGGAAAAACATCTATAGATAGCTTTCAATGAGTGATAAGCAATCAAATGGAATGATATCAAGTCATGACTTTGAAAGTGCTCTCGATCAGTTCAACGTCTTTATAACTAAGGAGGACTTCCGTAAAATTTAAAACCTTTACGGCGGGGCTTCGTAGAACTATATTAATTATCAATAGCTTAGTGTTGATCTAGGACTACATAACAATCAACTCAATTTTTTAAAGAACTCATCAGTGCGGATGCAAAACATTTAAAAACTCAGGAACATATATAGCTCTAGTGATAAAAAGTCAAGGATAGGAGCTAATAGTGTTATAGACAGAGCGAGTACTGCAGAGATAGGATTTAATAGGCATAATGTTGCCTTAAACCCTGGAAGTTCAATCTCAAATAATAACATTTACAATAATGTATCAGGCATGCTGAATTCAGAAACGGTAAAGGATCAAAGTAAAGAGCAAGTTAAAACAATATTGCTTGGCAATATGAAAGAATTCAGAGACATGATTAGTGAATATTAAAAGAAAAATAACTCTGATCATGCCATTATACCTATGGCAGAGTTTAAAGCAATACTGAATGGATTAGGTATCACACTTAGTTAAGAAGTAAATAATTCCAATATTAATTTAAATTTATAGACTTTGAGGAAGTATTAGACAAGTAAATTAATTGATGATGAGCTTAAGTTTGGTGATAGATCCAAGAGTGTAGGAGGAGCCTAGAGAAGCAATAATCAGATAGCTGGTATTGATGCCAGAGAATTTTTAAAATACTATTTATGAATTGAATAGTAAGTCCATCAAATAGAAAATGTAAATTGAAAGAATGATCTAACCACCCAAAATATTGAATATAAGATTTGAATATCTTTTAATTTTTTGTTATAAAGTAACTATATAAATATAATTTCAATCATCGTCATTTTATGAATGGAAAAACATCTATAGATAGCTTTCAATGAGTTATAAGCATATCATATTTCCATTAAAATCAAGCTTCCAATCCCCTATCAAAATTTATAAATGCTATAATATATAATTACTTTATCTTATTCAAACTAATTCTGTTAGGAAAGTGTTCTTTAATAATACTTGATATATATTTCAAGGTCGTATAGAGTGACTAATTTCTTCAACTTATAATCATTAGAAGCATTAATATTTATCCTTTCATTATTAGATAATAAATAATGTGTATTTATAATTTTTAAGCAATTTATCTAAACTTAATAGAATTATAAAAATTTAATATTAAGAAGTAAATTTAATGGCTCAAAAATTAATGAGATTTACAAAGATTCTCAGAACTTCTAATTTATGTCATCAATAAATAATCACAATACCAACTTAAGTGAGTTAAATTGACAATATAGAGAGCAGAAGGCGATTCTCAACTCAAATTAAACAGGATGATTAATAAACTGTGGTAGCAGCCAATCAAGATGATTTCTTCACAAACTAGAGTGAATAAGATCTCTAAGTTATTTCTAAAATTCCACCTAAAGTTGACCCAAACCTTATTTATGAAGGCTAAATTGTCGATAGACAAACTGAGGAGAACTATGAGACATAAAATGCAATGATGGTAAGAATAATTCCTATACTTACATAAATCAATCTAGTATGACTAAAAATTCTCAGATAAAGTGAAAGTATTCGTCAGAGGAGGAGATGGTGGCTCTGGGTGTATTGGCTATCTTAAGGGAAACTATCAAACAAGTAAGATAAATGAATAGAAATTATAGAAGAATTTAGAGTAGCCTGACGGTGGATGTGGAGGCAGAGGAGGAGATGTATATTTCACAGCAACTGAGAAATTGAATAGTTTGTACGATTTGAGAAGAGCGCATTTCCTTGGAAACAATGGAGGTCATGGAAGAGTATGTAATTTGCTAATTTAATGCAAACAAATCATGATGAAATTTTAAATAGGGGAAGAAGAGAGATGGAACTATAGGAAGAGATAAATCATATAATGTGCCAATTGGAACTGAAATCTATGAAATTTAGTACTAAAAGAAGGCAGCTGATGAAGCTAGTACTGAGGTAAATATATCATGAATCTCTAAATCAGTTGATTAGCAAGATATCACAAAAATTAAATTAGCAGATTTAGATGCAGAGAATCAAACCTATCTCATGGCTAGAGGTGGTAAAGGAGGAGCGGGAAATTTCAAAGTAAGTATTTTTCATAAAGGCATATCTCATGACTTTACCAGAGAAAAGACTTATAAGCTAGAATGCCAGGCTAAACAGGAGAGCATAAGGAATATGAGCTAAAACTTAAAATGATTGCAGATATGGGATTTATTGGATTCCCAAATGCAGGAAAGTCTACTCTGCTAGCTGCTGTAAGAATATCAATCACATAATGATTTTAAATAGATAACTAGAGCTTTTCCTAAGATTGCTCACTATCCATTTACTACTCTAAGACCATACATAGGCTATGCAAAGTTCGTTGATGAATCTAAAATTTTATTCGCTGATTTGCCAGGAATTATAGAAGGAGCACATTTAAACAAAGGTTTAGGTCTTGAGTTCCTTCAGCATGCAGAAAGAACAAAGGTAAGAGATCAGTGATTAATTTTGACATATTAGGCATTACTTTTTGTGATTGATGGATCAGTAGATGATGAAGGAAGAACACCAGTGTCAGACTATCAGGTACTTTTAAATGAACTAAAGCATTATCAAAATGGAGCTCTGCTATAAAAGCCCTCATTGATAGTAAAGACTTCGTATTAATTCATCCAAATTTATAGGCAGTGAATAAATGCGATCGTAAATATGTGAAGTACAATGAGAAACTAGAAAAGCTAAAGGTATTATTTTAATTTTATAAAGCAAATTTAGAAAGTGGCTCACACTGATGTGATACCGATAAGTGCAAAGGAGGGAACAAACCTTGAAATTTTGCTTGAATCAATCAGAGTACTAATGAAAGATAAGGTTGAAAAGTAATGAATTGTTGTCACTGATGATAGAGACAATTATGGAATTTGAAAGTTCATTAAACACCCAGAGAAAAATCCAAGAGAATTAGATTAATTAATAATTATTAATTTTCACTTGAATAGAACTTGCATACTCTGATGGGGTTTTGGGGTTTTGGGGTTTTGGGG